AAATGAGTAGTTCTCATATTTGTATCGTTATTGTTCAAGTTTATAGAACTTGGATCACATCTTTTCAATAAGTTATTAATTGTCAGCGTCAAACTTAAGAGGTTCTGTTAGCCAATATTCTTCGGAGATGAATTAACATTGTTTTGCAATATCAGTGTCTAATAAGTTGCGTAGATGAATCCAGAACTTTATAATCGATGTCTCTATACTTAATTTCAGCGGTAGTCTACCCATTTTGTTTCTAGCGGCAACATTTGGGCATTGCTTGTTTACACCTAAGGTTTACTTAAAAAAATAAAGGTGAGTTTTTTCAATTTCATCTTTTTCCCAGGCGGAGAGGTCCTCTTTGTCATAGATACCCCAAACTTCCCAGCCATATAATAGGATTGGAGGAAAGAGGGAATCAAAGAGTTTACAATTAATTTCTAGAGGCAATTTGGTTAAATTAAGATATCGACGAGTTGCAAAGATTGACCTGCGTGTTTTTTCTTTTAAATTTCCTTTGCAACCTTTGAAATTGCCAGAGGAGGAAAAATCAACTCCAAGATATGTATAACTGTTAATGATTTCAATAGTATTGTTATCTATAGTAAAGTTATATGTGTCAAGTGTTGATTTTCTACATTTATTTTGAAAAATCACTACTTTTGTTTTCTTTAGGTTTATAGATAGTAACCATTCATTACAATGGTTGGTTCCTTTACTATGAAACTCTTAAATGTGTTAAGCAATTCATGAGTAACAATGAATAAATCTACTGTACTCACTCCTTTGGCTGAGTGGCACGTTATTTTTCCTAAAGAGTATCCGAACGTTCTGCCATTCAAGATTCTAAGGTGACAGGATTTACAGAGGTCCAGCATAGAGTGACCATATTCATTTATTTGAGAATCAAAATTTTTCCTCTTTGTGAGAGGATCAAGCGGAAGGGATATGTCGCCGGATATGTGTGAGCACTGATCAGGATCGATTGAGTCTGGGGATGAGCGAGTTCTTGCGTTGAAGTATCCCGCTAAAATAATGTGTCCGTCATGGCTAAACAAGTTGGGCAATTGAAGTTTCCAGAATATTAAGGTGTCTTGATCAAAGTAAGGGGATTCCTGTGGGGGAATGTACAAACCACGGAGAAAAATAACCTGATCTGTTTTGAAAAACATTTTATCTAGCTTTATCCAAATGAGATTTTTATGAATTGAAACGAGTTTAATGCAGGCCTTGCGTGTCAATAAATCTTAATCCACCGTTTTAGGCCCTTTTTTTTAAATTTGTTAACGTTAATTTCCTCCGTTAAGTGTGGTTTGGTAAACTAATCCAGTGTTTGACGATTCTCAAGAAGAAGGACTACTTAAAGACATTAACATTGATTTAATCTAAATTTGGTAAGGATGGTTGGCTCCAGTAATCTGGCTTCTAGTAATGTCACTTCTACAAAAATCGAAACAGTCGTCAAAGTCTAGGCCATGTAGAGCAACCACTGTCTTAACATTCCACCACNTGTAGGTATTCTCTTCGATGCTGAAGTGTGTTCCACCTAGATAACGATATCAGCTAACAAATGGACCGGTTAATTGATCCCATTACCGACACTGAAACCACAAGCGAAAAGTTGTCACCACGCACTCACTTATCTTACTAACTTGTCACACAATCTAACTTAAATTGTCTCAACACACTCCCCTATTTGCTTCCGTCACGGAAGCAAATACAATTCAAGTAAAGTTCTTAAATTTCATTCGATTGAAACCTAGTAGACGGAAATCAGTTTCAATTCACTCAGTTAATGTTCTTCTTTCAAAACAAATTAAACAAGGCTTTAAATGAACAATGTTTCTTAATCGTATCGGTCAAGTTCAGCAATGCTTTGGACTCTGCCTGGCTGCGACTGCGGCATCTCCCTTTGGTTTGAAAGCAAGCGCTTCAGGATTCAGTGGAGGTTTCGGCACTTCCCGAGACTTGTAACAGGACAGCTCCAGTGGGTGCAGCTGCTGCACTGCTCTCTCCAGATAGCTCTTGCCTCCCCGAAGCTTCACAGCTCTCACGACCCCGTCGTGTCCCGCAAACAGCTCTTCAACTATCCCAAGCTTCCATTTATTTCTATCTTTGTTGTCGTCTTTGATGATGCACATATCTCCCTTCTTAACTCCACAGGTGGAGTCCTTATGTTTTACCGTGTGACGTTCTCGCAGCCCACGAAGGTACTCTTTTGTCCAGCGGTTCCAAACCGCATCTTTACATTTTCTAAGGTATTTCGCTCGCTGTCTAAGTTGCGGGTTCTCTTCATAGGTCTGATGAATGAGTCAAGTTCAGTCAACCGTTTGAGTATCCTTAACAGTCTGATGAATGAGTCAAGCCAAGTGTACCCTCTGTTGTGACGGCTGTGACGGCGTCACACGCTTATCGTAAAGAATATATCGGGCATCAGATGGTGTAGATATCATTTATGCCCACCACAATTTGATCTCGTATCAGAGAATCCTTAATCGCTCCGAAATCGCAGTATTCAGCTCTTCTTCTGAGATCTGTGACAAATATGTCAAACGAGCGGTCTTCTTGGGTGGTCGTTCTGAAGACGTATCGTTCGTAGGTTGTATTCTTCCGAGGAACACAATACGTTTCCACCGCTGTTAAGATACCTCCAACAGTCCTTTGCGTGATATCTTCGGGAATATTTGGTAGAGTTTTGAGCACTCGTCTTGCTTTGGTCCCGAGAATACTTNTCACTTATCTTACTAACTTGTCACACAATCTAACTTAAATTGTCTCAACACACTCCCCTATTTGCTTCCGTCACGGAAGCAAATACAATTCAAGTAAAGTTCTTAAATTTCATTCGATTGAAACCTAGTAGACGGAAATCAGTTTCAATTCACTCAGTTAATGTTCTTCTTTCAAAACAAATTAAACAAGGCTTTAAATGAACAATGTTTCTTAATCGTATCGGTCAAGTTCAGCAATGCTTTGGACTCTGCCTGGCTGCGACTGCGGCATCTCCCTTTGGTTTGAAAGCAAGCGCTTCAGGATTCAGTGGAGGTTTCGGCACTTCCCGAGACTTGTAACAGGACAGCTCCAGTGGGTGCAGCTGCTGCACTGCTCTCTCCAGATAGCTCTTGCCTCCCCGAAGCTTCACAGCTCTCACGACCCCGTCGTGTCCCGCAAACAGCTCTTCCACTATCCCAAGCTTCCATTTATTTCTATCTTTGTTGTCGTCTTTGATGATGCACATATCTCCCTTCTTAACTCCACAGGGGGAGTCCTTATGTTTTACCGTGTGACGTTCTCGCAGCCCACGAAGGTACTCTTTTGTCCAGCGGTTCCAAACCGCATCTTTACATTTTCTAAGGTATTTCGCTCGCTGTCTAAGTTGCGGGTTCTCTTCATAGGTCTGATGAATGAGTCAAGTTCAGTCAACCGTTTGAGTATCCTTAACAGTCTGATGAATGAGTCAAGCCAAGTATACCCTCTGTTGTGACGGCTGTGACGGCGTCACACGCTTATCGTAAAGAATATATCGGGCATCAGATGGTGTAGATATCATTTATGCCCACCACAATTTGATCTCGTATCAGAGAATCCTTAATCGCTCCGAAATCGCAGTATTCAGCTCTTCTTCTGAGATCTGTGACAAATATGTCAAACGAGCGGTCTTCTTGGGTGGTCGTTCTGAAGACGTATCGTTCGTAGGTTGTATTCTTCCGAGGAACACAATACGTTTCCACCGCTGTTAAGATACCTCCAACAGTCCTTTGCGTGATATCTTCGGGAATATTTGGTAGAGTTTTGAGCACTCGTCTTGATTTGGTCCCGAGAATACTTTGGATAGTTGCTATCTGTGTGGCATCGTCCTTTTCGTGAAGGTTACTCGATATCCGATACAATTCCCACGCTTCTTTCCATTCCTTCCATTTATCTGCGAGATTGAGACTATCAATATCCAATTCTGAGGGAAGTTTAATACGTTCCATGTCGGAGTTAGGAGTTAGAAAAGTTTCTTTGAAAGAGATCCTGGTACCATGTTATGAGTTCAACTTTTCTTCAGCTTCTTTATTCAGTAGTTTCACACTGCACGTGATCCATGAGATCACGTGACTTACAACCCACTTATCATAACAGAGAGGCTCCTTGTAGCTACCTCATGGTAAATCTTACGTATTCACTTTAAACCTTTATCGTAACCTTATAATATTGCGTAAGGTACTTTTAAGGCTGGTTTTCACTTGCGACGGAGTCGTAGTCGGAGTCGTAATCAGAAGCGTGGAGCGATACGATCAAGTGAAAATCAAACCGACGGAGTCGGAAGCAAAGCACCGATTCTGCCTATGACTCCGTCGCTTACGATCTAGTGAAAACTGCATTGTCAGAGTCGGAAGCGGAAG